GCAGGTACCGGAAGAGGAACATGGAAGAAGGAGGTTTGCTGGCTCACTCTTTGACCTGTTCAATGGCTCAGGCTCCGCTAATAATAGACTAAGACCACTTGCCTAGGGATGATGCTGTCCACAGCGAACTGAACCTTCCTGTATAATTAGTAATCAAGTCAGTGTGGAAACCTAATGCATCAGGAACTCCCAGAATTCTATGAGGGTGACCTTAGCATGGAATCCTAATAATAATGGCGTGGTTGACCATTGACTGGTCTAAGTTGAGGCCCACACCACTAGAGGGAGCCCATGCAGGACAAGGCCTGGCTGACCAGGAACCAGAGACTAGAAAGTCTGGATACCTAGGATAGGAAAAAAAAAATCAACAAAACTATTCCTAATAGTATTTTGCTATAATCATAGATGGTTCCTAGCCCAGTCATCATCAAAGAGGCTTCTTCCAGCAGTTGATGGAAGCAGATGCAGAGACCCACAGCCAAACATCAGGCAGAAAAAGAGAGCCCGAACTGGAGATCTGCATCGGATCTCTCCTCACTGAACTCCAGGAAGCGAGGGAGCCAGAGGGGTCAAGGACACCATAACATGGCCCACAGAGTCAACTAAGCAGGGCTCATAGGAACTCACAGAGGCTGACAGAGCCTGCCGGGTCTGTGCTAGGTTATGCTCAGTTGATGTCTCTGGGAGGAGAAGGGAGAGGAGTGGAAGGAGGGAAAACGGGTCAGGATGTATTGTATGAGAAGAATTTTTTAAAGTTTGCATACATACAAAATAAAATAAAATAAGCAAAGCTGGCCAGCCTGAGAGCTCCAGGGATCTGTCTGTGCCTCCCAGCACGAGGATTACAAGAGAGCCCCGACACACCTGGCTTTTTATTAGAAATATTCATATTTGCACAACAAGTCTCCCCCACTCTCCTTCCCTCCCTCCCTCCCTCCCTCCCTGCCTCCCTCTCTCTCTCTCTCTCTCTTTCTCTCTTTCTTTCTTTTTGAGACCAAGTCTCATAGAGTCTAGGACTGCCTCACACTCACTGTGGATCTAAGAGAGTCCTAGAACCTAGGACCCTCCTGCCTGCATTTCCCAAGTGTTACGATTATAGACACGTGCAAGCACGACAAGCTTAAGAAATGCTAGGAGTCCAATTCATGCATATTAGATGAGCGCTCTACCATTTGAGCCACAACCCTAGAACTTGTAAAAGTTCTTTTAAAATGCGCATGTGTGCCTGCATGAGTTTTCATGACCTTGTGTATTAGGTACCTACGGAGGCCAGAGGGTATTGGAGCCACTGGAACTAGAGTTACGGTTGTGAACCAACATATGGATGTTGGGAACTGAACCTTGGTCCTCTGCAAGAGCAGTGTTTTGCTTTTTAACATAAATTTTCAATTAAGTCTTTGGGGATTTCACATCATGCCCCCCAATCCCATTCATTCCCCAGTCCTTCTATGTCCACCTCCATCCTTGTAGCCTCCCCCCAAAAGAAAAATAATAAAAAAAAAAGTCCTGCATGGGTTCCCTCTAGTGGTGTGGGCCTCAACTTAGACCAGTCCTCCATCTTTCCTGCCTCTCCATCATTTCTTTATTTGTCTTATTGGCGTTGGAGCTGTGGTGTGTTGTGCAGTATACCCTTTTGCTCAAAAAGCTTTACTCGCCAGTGTTCATGGATTTTTTTGTCTGGTTCAAGGCCTCTGGCTTCTGATATACCATCAATAGTGGACCCTCATGGAAACTTCTCTCCGGTATCCTGCTGTTGCCCTGAGTCATGGAGACTCTGCTGCTATTGTTCTGCAGGACAGGTCCCTTCATGTGCTCAGTGGGTCATAGATGGGGTAGATGTTGGGGACTGTCAACTCAAAGCCCTGGATGTGGGCCTGGGTGGTATCTGAGTTGGTCAGTCTGGGCCTCCACCGGGACCACCCCTGCCAAGCGAGGGTCAGGGTCAACTCTCTCCCATGGCCCTGGGTGGTAACATGAGCCACAGACATTATCTCAGATCCCTGCTTCAGTAAGGTCACAGACCCAGACATGGTCCTTGGCAGCAACTCGGGCCCTAGACATCTCCATGGCCTCATGTAGCAGTACAGGCCACTCAGATGGGTATGGTCCCAGTGGCAGCATGGCCTTCAGACATCGACGTGGCCTCGGGTGGTGGCCCAGACCCTCTGTATGGCCTTTGGTGGTAACAAGGGTCATGGGCATGAACACACACCCTCAGCTGCAACTGGGCCACCAACCCAGACACGGCCCTTGGCAGTAGCAGACCCAGACATCACATGGTCCCAGGTGGTAGCATGGACCACTCATGTCAGCCGGCTCCTCACCACTGCCTTGTCGTTAGTTCTGCTTCTCTCCACAGCGGACAAACTGCTCAGCTTCTCCTTCCCTCCTATCTCCCTACCACACCCCTGCTTCTTATCACAGTGGCACCTGCCTGCCTGGGGTCTGTTGCAATAAGTGGCTTTAATTGCTGAGCCACCTCTCCAGTCCCAGGAAAAGCACGTGGCCTTGAATTTCCCACGTAACTGAGAATGATTTTGAACCTTCAATCCCCCTGCCTCTACCTCCTGAGTGTTTATTCATTCCTTTATGTAGTACTGGGACTGACTTCTGGACTCCACTTGGCAAGTGTTTTACCAACTGGGCTATTCTCCCAGCACCCCCTGCCTCCCTGCCCTAGCCAAAGCAGAAAATGGTTAAGTTTAAAGACCTGGTTGCTGACACGTACCTTGAACTCACTATGTAGCCCAGGGTGGCCCTTTATGTGCAATCCTCCTGACTGCTGGGATTATAGAAATTCACTACCACTCCTGGCTTCATAATTTTTTGAACATTTTACTTACTATTTTAATGTGTATGGATGTTTTGTCTGCAGTATGTCTTAGTTGGAGACCAGAGTGGTGTATATAATAAATTGCAGGCCACATAATATTAATAAATAATAATAATATAAAAATTTAAAATAGAAAGTTGATTTATTTGGGGGAACACCTTATACTGTGGAGTCCTGACACTCCTAGAACTTGCTGTATGGAACAGGCTGGCTTTGATTGTCACTACTTCCCCTGCTCTAGTCTTTTGAGTCATTTAGGTGTGGGGACAGGCTTTTCCTGGATTGGACAGGATCCTGGCTGGCCTGGAACTCACCAAAAGTGCTGGCAGTTGAGAAGTCTGTGTGTTACTGGAATTCTGTCACCAGTCTGCTAGCCAATGAGGCAGAGTTTTCATTGGGGATGGATGTGCCTGAGGAAGAGGTGGGCGGGCCCTTTCCACTGAGGAACAAGAGACAGGGGGTGGGGGATGAGGGCCGCAACTGTGGGTGTAAGCAGCAGGCGCTGTGACTCCGTTCAGGCTCTCCATTTGTCCTTTAGTATTTGCGCACGGATTCTGCTTGTTCGTAAACAAGAGAAATCTTTTATCACCTGTGTTGTGTCATAAAAGTGCATTAAAAATCGATGAGACAATTGTAGCTACTGCCTTGCCCAGAACTATCTGGAATTGTCTAACTTTTTGTTGGGTCTGGTTACATAGCTCTCATAAATGCCTTGGTCATAATAGGAGTATCACTGCTGATTGCTTTTAATTCCGTTGCACCCCTAGCACGTTTGTGTAATCCTGTCTCCATTCTGTGCCACTTCAGTATGTTGCTATGCCAGGGAGGAGAAGAGCGACTGCATTGAAGTTAACGTCTGCCCCGCGATTTCTCAAATCTGTACAATTGTTAGTAGATGTGTGATGGCACACACACTCATAGAGGCAGAGAACAACTCTGTGCTGTCGGCCCTCTCCATCCTCCTTTACGTGGGCCTGAGGACCGGGCTCCATCCTCGGACACCGAGCCATCTTAGCTGCCTCTTTTGAGAAGCTGTTACACGACTCTTCTTAAAGAATCTCGGAGTCGGCTGAGGCTGCACTACTGTGCTTGCAGCAAAGTTTTGATTGGCATGGCTTATCCCTCCTGCTAACACTGAAAAGGACTGCTAATGACGGGCTGCTCAAACGAAGACTGTAACCGACCAGCCTTCACTTCTGTAGACTGCTTTTAATGCTCAGGTTGAAAATATTCGGTCTTCTCCCCTGAAAAAAAAATTCGTACTTGGGTGGTAGTGGTGCACACCTTTACTACCAGTACTTGGAGGCCAGAGCTAGTTCCAGGATAGCCAGAGCTACACAGAGAAACCCTGTTCTGAAAACAAAAAACAAAAAAAGAAAATATTCAGTTCATTTCTATTTGTGATTTCATCTTCTTTCTGCAAATAAAGAATACAGCTAGTGTTTCATCTAAGGCTGATAAGGTTATCATACAAGTGGCATGAGAATATAGTGGCTCTTCTGTCTGTCACCAGTGTACCCAGGTAGCACTAAAACCAAAATTAAATCTACTCAGAGGACACACAGGAAACTTGAGTGCTGTGTTGCATCAAGCTTTCCTTTCTCCTAAGTAGTTTGTTTGTGCGTAGGTCTCTCTGTGCAGCCCTTACCGGCCTGGAGCTGGATCTGTCACAGACATCCGAGTGCCTCCGTCTCTCCAGTGCTGGGAATAAGGTGTGTGCCACCATGCCTGGCCTCTGACTAATTTTTTAACTGAACTGATGGGAGTTCTGTTCCTCCTATTTGAAATTTAGCCTTTCATCTCACCAAGCTCACAACTCAAAGGATTTTGTTTTCTCTCTTTAGGCTAATTTAGTTTTTATTATGCTTATTTTGTATTACAACATAAAATTCAGCCTTAAGGATTACTTTGCATTTTCCTATGGTATTTCCTGACTAACTTTATTTTATTGATTGATTGATTTAATTTTATTTTTTTGGAGACAAGGTTTCAAGGTTTCTCTGTAGCTTTGGAGCCTGTCCTGGAACTTCATCTGTAGACCAGGCTGGCTTCAAGTTCACAGAGATCCGCCTGCCTCTGCCTCCCGAGTGCTGGGATTAAAGGTGTGCCCAACCATTGCCCGGCAACTTTATTCTTGAAATATGCAAAATACCAAACTAAGAAAGCATTGCATTTAATACTATTTTTTTATTAAATTTACTTCTGATGTATAAATCAGAGGAAAACCCTGTATAGAAATTGTGCATTTACTGACTCCAAGGTTCTATGAACGATCTCCAAACTTCTGTACTATAAACACTTTTTCTGTCATGTGAGACGATTCATTAGACGAAACGGGGGTGATGGCAAACTTTTTACTGATGTTGAAAATCTGACAGCTCCACTTCTAAAGGAACCGTCACATCACTACGCTCAAGTATTTTGGGTCCCAGTATGCCGATGAGGAGAGCTCCATTTGGAGCTGTGATCAGGATGGCTAGGAAGGCTACCGTCATCACATCCTTGGCGTATGTTTCGAGGTGGGGTGCCATGACTCTTCTTGCTGTTTCTAGAGCCAGAGGACCCAAGACAGCCTGCAGTTAGGGAGGACACAGGGCAAAAGGAAAATGTTACTCAGAGTTAATGTAATACACATAAGTGGCTCTGTAACAAACACACACGATGAAATTGCATGATAAAGTACTAGAAAGAAGAAACCAAATGTGGAGTGATTTGTATGATTTAATCATTAGTTGCATATTCTTTCTAGCAAATATATCTGGAAGAAAGCAACCTGGACAAACCAAAGGGCAGACATCTGGGGGCTGACTGTGGACTCTTCTCCCGCTGGAATTCCCACCTCAGAATCTCTTCTGGGTGCTCACACAGAAATTAGGGCTCACACGTGGACCAGTATGGCCTGCACGTTTTTGTCATATGCCCCTAGGTTCATGTCTGCAACAAGACAGCACAAAACACTGATGTCTCCAGGGGTGTGTGCTCCTCCCATGTCCCTCCCTTGTGGGCTGAGCGAGACACTGGCCAGAGCTGGAATCTGGCAAACTGACTATGAATTCTGTTCTTGCTCAACCAGGTGAGTGATTCCTTAAAGGGGGGTCAAAGTCATTACCCTAACGATGTGTCTGCAGCCTAACACCTCACTGGATGGTTGTGACAATGAAACAGGAGCATACAAAGGACAGCTGGCACACAGTAGGGATGCAGGTGATTTGACTTTCTCCAGTTGCTCTTCTTTGCTGAGCTAGATGGGTGCCCATGCCCTGTCCCCCTACAAACCCCAGTCAGTTACCTTTTTTTTTGTTTTGTTTTTTGTTTTTGTTTTTCGAGACAGAGTTTCTCTGTATTGCTTTGGAGGCTGTCCTAGAACTTGCTCTGTAGACCAGGCTGATCTTGAAGTCACAGAGATCCGCCTGCCTCTGCCTCCTGAGTACTGGGACTAAAGGCGTGTGCCACCAATGCCTGGCTCAGTCACTTATCTTTTATCATTTATTTACTTATTTTCTTTTGTTTTTGAGACAAGGTCTCACTGTACAGCCCATGTCTACCTTCTGAGTACTAGAATTACAGGCATAAGCTACTGTGGCATATGTATGTATATGTATATATATTTTAACTTATTATCCTTATTTTTACCTATTATTTACATATACAAATCAGAAATTGCCTTAAATTTTTCAGGAATTAAATACAAATAAATACCAACTATGGAATTGTACAGTAATGGCATAATGGCAGAAATATTACTTCTGATGTGGAATTCCCCCTCAACTGAAGATAGATCATTAAAGGGTTTTTAATTTTTAAGACAGATTTTCTCTGTGCCATGCCCTGTCTGTTCTGGAACTCGATTTGTCGATCAGGCTGATCTCGAACTCACAGAGATTCACCTGCTTCTACTTCCCAAGAGCTGGGATTAAAGGCATGTACCACCATGCCCGGCCTAATTTTTTTTAACGATAACCTTTAAATTAGTTTTATTTTATATGAGTGTTTGCTTGCATGTGTGTATGCATACCATGTGCATGCAGAAAGCAGAGGCACCCTCAGAAGCTGGCAGAGGGCATTAATCTCCCAGATTGGAGTTGCAGACAGTTGGGAGCTGCAGTCTAGGTACTGAGAAGTGAACCCAGGTCTTTTGTGAGAGCCATGAGTCCTCTTAACCAATGAACTGTCTCTCCAGCACCATATAATACCATATAATAACATTTTTCCTGTACACAGGCCAGTGTGCTAGGTGACAGGGAGAAAAGGATCAGACAGAAAGCAGGTTCTAAAGAATCCTAAAATCTATAAGAGGTTTTGAACATCAGAGGACTGCCAGAAACATATTTGGTAAGAGATGACAACAGCAACGACGGTAATATTTACACAGTTATGTGGCATCTGTCATGAAGAAAGTGTCATTATCAAAGCTTTACATGTATTAACTCGTTTACTCCTTTTGGCAAACTTGCCACATGGGAACTACTATTAGAAGAAAAATGATCCTCACTAAATATCTCAAATTTAGTATCATTTCCCTGGGAAAGTCAATCAGCAAGCTGAGTTTACATCTGTGAGCTAACTTCTTTTTGCTGTTCTACCATTTTTCCACTCTAATTTTCACCAATATCTCTAAATAAAGGCACGAGAGAACGCTTGGCGTCCTTGTTTGCTTTCTCCTGCTGTGATGGACACGATGACCAAAAGCAGTTTGGCAAGGAAAAGGTTTATTCCATCGTACAGTTGTCATCCGTCGTGAAGGGAAGTCAGGGCAGGAACTCAGGCAGGAGCCTGGAGGCAGGAACTGAAGCGGAGATCAGGGGAGAACTTGGCTGACTGGCTCACAGTCCGCCACTTTTCTTACGTAACTCTGGCCAGCCTGCCTAGAGATGGTACTACTTATCCATGGTCAGCTAAGCCTTCCCACACCAGTTAGCAATCAAGAAAACGCCTCACAAACATGGACACAAGCCAGTCTCTAGAGCTGCAGTCCCCTCCTCCCAGGTGATTCTCAGGCTGTGTCAAGATGACAGCTGGGATGGGTTCACACTTGGTCAGCTTTGACAAGCGTAACACTGTAATCCATAATTTCCCTTCTTGTCCCCAGCATCTCATAATTAACATCATAATAATATAGGATGATTTTAAAAGCCCCACAGTATTTAAAAAATTCAATACTTCAGACAACATCGGGCTCGTTCAGGGTGGTATGGCTGTAGACAAAAAATTCAATACTTCAAAGGTCCAGTGTCTCATTCAGGACCGTTCCAGGAGGTGCAACATGCTCTTCTGGCCTCTGCAGATACCAGGCACTCATGTGATACAAATACATAAATGCAGGCAAAACACTCATGCACATAAAACGAAAATAAACACATCCAAAAAAGTTATATACTGGCTTATTCCAGAAGGTAAGAAGAACCAGGCTACAGTTACAATCAGATCAAAGCAAAACCAAAGTCCATCAGCATAAATCCATGTTCTGTAGCTCCAACGTCATAGCCTCACTCATGATCTTTTGGATCTAAAGGACTCGGGTCGCCTCACCTCTACAGTATACACAGCTTGCCCAGTAGGCTCAGGCTGGTTCTATCCAGAGCTCTCCACCCCACAACTGCCACTGCTTTTGGCTGATGTCCCGAGGTGCCAGCATCAAATATCCTGGGGTCTCTTCTGCAACTGAGGCTGTATCTTCACTAATAGCCTCTCCTGGTCTCTTCGGGGACTCAGAACCTGTCACATGACGCCACACCCCATTTTCTCTCCAACGGCCTCTTCAATCCTGCGTCTTTCTTGGTGCAAGAATCAGTATCACACAGGAGGCTCTCACACTTTTCCTAGGTCGGCTGCCGACTTGAGATGCAGTTCTGCACCACCCCTCCCCCTAGCTACCACCGTAGGTATGCTGACGCCAAGGAACTCCTTCCAAAAATTCCACTTCAATTAATACCAGTCCCTTATCAGTCAAAACTGATTCTTCAAAACCGAAAGATAGCATAGGAACAGTTCTGACAGAATCCTTGAAGGACTCTCAAAATTTCCTCGGAAACTTTATAAACCAGGCCTCCGTTGTCTACATTTCTTTCAGCTTGGGCAGTGGGTTCTTTCTTTATACCTTCTTGGGTTTCACTCTGCTTTGGGAGACAAACGAGTAGCTGCCTAGAAAAGCAGCACAGTATTAAAAAACAACAACCCTAACAGAGAATTCTGTTTCATAGAAATGTACAAGCTTCTATTTTGTAACAGCAAAATGGAGAACAAAAATTCCAGGAAAGCAAGGCTTTATGCTGCCATCAAATGTTAACGGTTGAACAATAAGTAGCAATACCTTTTAAAAGGAGGAAATTATTATAGATTAAGAGGGTAAGCCTCCAGGTCTTCATTAACTCAATCATTTATGCAGAGCATGTCTACCGATACCCCGGCTAGTTTTTCTGTTTGTTTGTATTTTGTCAGTCTGACACAAGTTAAAGTCCTCTGGGAAGATGAACTCAATAGAGACAATGCCTCCATCAGATGGCCTGTAGGCGACTCTGTACAGCATCTTCTTGATTAATGATGGATGTGGGAGGGGCCAGTCCACTGAGGGAGCTGCTACCCTTGGGCTATGGTCTTGAATGATATAAGAAAACAAACTGAACATGTTATGGAAAACAAGCCAGTCAGCGAGGCTCTCCACGACTTTTGCTTCAGTTCCGGCTGCCAGGTTCCTGCCTTGACTTCCTGTGCTGACTTCCCTTGATGATGGAAGTGTAAGATGAAATAAACCCTGTCTTCCCTCAATTGCTTTGGATGATGGTGTTTTAGCATAGCAATAAAAATCTTAACACAACTTCTTCCTGCCAGGTATTGCTAAACAGTAGGGAAAAATGCAAAAGGGAACAAACAAAATGCCCTCAAAAGACACTATTTCTGTCTTTCCTATGTAGTCGTATATCATAAAAACAAAGATCTAATTAAAAGATGGGTGGTAGCCGGGCGTTGGTGGCGCACACCTTTAATCCCAGCACTCGGGAGGCAGAGGCAGGCGGATCTCTGTGAGTTCGAGGCCAGCCTGGTCTACAAAGTGAGTTCCAGGACAGCCTCCAAAGCCACAGAGAAACCCTGTCTCAAAAAAACAAAAAAAAAACCCAAACAAAAAAAAAAAGATGGGTGGCAGGGTGAGGAAAGACACAAAAACCAATGTGTCTTTAAAGGTATGCATTTGCCTCTATAGCATTCAGCAATATAAAAATAGTCCCATATTATATGCTCTTATTTTATTTTAGACTTTTTTTGGAGACTGGGTCTATCTCTACCTATGCAGCCCTGGATGCCCTAGAATTCTCTATGCAGGCCCTAAACTCACAGAGATCGGCCTGCCTCTGCCTCTCAGGTGCTGGAAAAAGGTGTGTGTCACCATGCCTGGGCTTATTTTCATACTTCCGGGAAATAGAAAAAAAACATTTTCATAAAATTTAGAAATCATTTGCCATTTAAAAGTGCTCTTCTAAATTTCAGAGCAACTGCTTTAAAAACAAATCTTTTAAATGGTGTGTGTGTGTGTGTGCGTGTGTGTGCGTGTGTGGTGTACATGTGTGTGCACATGCATGCATGAGTGCATGTGCCTGCTTGTGCTCATGGGGAGGCCAGGTGCCAGCTGTCCTCCTCGGTCACTCTCTGCCTTATTCCTGTCATCTCTGCTCTGTTCTCCTCACACCCAGCACGAGGACTGAGGGCATTGAGGCCAACCCTATTTCATGTAGGTTTTATGTAGGTGCTAGGGATCCGAACTCAAGTTCCACACTTGCAAAGCAAACACTCTTTTCCCTTGAGCATTCTCCCCAGCTCTAGGTTTTAAAAAGTAGTTGTCAGCCAAGCATGGTAAAAGTAAAGTAAATAAGGCCACAAGTTGTCATTAGAGACATATTTTTCATTTAGAACCTTTGTGTGTGTGTGTGTGTGTGTGTGTGTGTGTGTGTGTGTGTGTGTGTGTGTGTTGGGGAGGATAGAAACCCTTTCCTTTTTTTTTTAAAGAAGTTTTATTTACTTATTTGATGCACACTGGTGTTTTTTGCCTGTATATACTCTGTGTAAAGGTGTCGGGTTCCCTGGAACTGAAGTTACAGACTGTTGTGAGCTGCCATATGGGTGCCGGGAATTGAACCCAGGTCCTTTGGAAGAGCAGCCAATGCTTTTAACCACTGAGCCATTTCTCCAGTCCCTCATTTAGAACTTTTAAAACTTGCCAAAACTAAAATTATTATGAATGACTTAATATATTCATACCTGGACTGTAGCTTTGGGGATCCATGCTAAAGCAATAAATACTTTCTCCTTAAAACGAAATTCAGCAAAAGACATCAATACAAAAGTGGCTAAAATTCGAGCAGATAATGCCAAACCCAAGGTAGCAATACACATGCCTGTAACACATATAAACAAATGTGAAAAGCAAAGCATTTGGGAGGGAGCCATTTTTGCCTAGAGAGATGAATTCCAAAATTTCTGAAAATGTTTGAGGCTGTTGCTTCATTATATCTATTTTTGAGTAAACATAGTAATTATAAACAGTACAAAGTAAAAATGAGGTGTTGTTGTGTGTGTACACACAAGTAGGGGTGTTTTGGGGTATGCATGCACACTTATGCAAGCCAGGAGTTTATGTTTGATGTCTTACTCAATGGCTTCTTTTTTTATAAATAATTTATTTACTTTTATTTCATTTGCATTAGTATTTTGCCTGCATGTATGTCTGTGTGAGAGTGTCAGATCTTGGAGTCAGACAGTTGTTAACTGCCATGTGCGTGCTGGAACTGAACCTGAGTCCTCTGGAAGAGCAGTCTGTCCAGCCCTCAATGGCTTCTTTTGGAGACAAGGTCTGTGACAGACCTTGGAGCTTACTAATTGACTATACTGGCAAGCTTCAGAGATCCTCCTGTCTCCGCCTCCCAATGCTGCTGAGACTAGTTTTTACATGGGTACTGGGGATCAAGTTTAGGTCCTAAGGATTGCATGACTGCAGTTTCGCAGCTGAGCCGTGTCCCTGGCCCTCACGGAGGTCCCTCCTGAAGGACGAGCGTATGTGATGGTGGGGGCGTGAAGAAAAGAAAGACCGGTCTCATGACATTAGGTTCGTCTGAGGGGATCGGCTTGGAATGGACGGCATCTAATTGTGAACTGTCTTTTGGGGGACATGTTTGCAGAGATGCAGACAGAAGCATAGAAGGATATCTAATATTTCCTGTAATCCACTTCTTTTCATCACTTGGGTTGTCTCTGACTGAAAAATAAAGGAATGTACAAAGGTAGAGGAAAAGAGAACAGATGAAATCAGTGTAATTTCCGAAGGTGTTTAAGGGTATTCAAAGTTATGGTACGCACGAAAATAAAGTACTCATCATTTTCAAAAGCTGGATTTTATCTCTCCTGTGCTTTATGTACTCTTACCAATAGTTCTCGATTCAAGAGCTTCAACAGATACTTCTGTTCCAACTAGGCCAAAAAGAAGTGGCTGAAAAATATTCCACATGTTTGCAACAATTTTTTGGACTCTAACCTATAGGAAAAAGAAATAGATTTCAGTTATTATGACATGTAAAGGCAACTGCACTTCAGAATTTTACATTGTTTGGTTATTGTGCACATATATTTGACTGCATCTCAGAATTTTAAAGTCATTTAAAAATTTTAATAAACTGATGATATTTCATTTTAGGGAAAAAGTTAAAACTTAATTTATGAAAATTGAGCAATGTCATTTATCCAAACAGAATTTGGTTAAGGAAACACACAAAGCCATACAATAAGCAGCATTATCTCATCACTCTGTTACAGAAAAGAAAAAGTCATTGGAGACCTTGTTACATTCAGAAGCAGGGCTAGAAACACAGTACGTGGGATGAGAACGCACAGCTCATGCAACCTCCTGGTCCATCAGAAAGGAGCGGGAAACCTGCTGTCCTAATGACAGCACAGGAACCCAGTCCAGGAAGTGAACTGAGACAGGCCACAAACAGGTAGGAAGAAAATATTCTGGTAGTTTCTTAGGCCTGTTTCCTCAGATTCATGTTGACTACTTCAAAGTTGTTTTCTGTAAGATTCCTATTCTGTTGTCAGGAGTATACCTACTGAAAATCTTTCCGAGTGATAACTTAACAGTATCTGTCAAAATAAAGACTATTTTTTTAACCCAGAAATCCCATTTCTATGAATCCATTCCTACAGGATACTTGTATATATGAAAAAGCTACATGAAGAAATCTGTTCATTGTACTAACATTTTTATTTTAAAAACAGAATATATATATATACATATATATATACACACACACATCTTCAAATATAGTATTGGTTAAAATGATTAATTTTGGAGACAAAGCAGAATATTTAGGGGGAGTAAGGAATACAGGAATTTTTTACACTCAGCCTATATGTTTTAATAATTATGAACATGCTTTCTTTTTTGTCTACTTTTATGCCATCAGTTAAAAAAATATAAATTGGGCAGGTAAAATGTCTCAGTGGGTAAAGGCGCCTGTCACAAAGCTTGACAACCTGAATTCGATTACCAGAACCCACACAGTAGAAAAACTGACTTCTATAAGTTGTCCTCTGACCTCCATGCCCCTCCCCATAAATAAATGTAAGATAATAACAATAATAAACAAAACCCAATATAGCATTTGGGGCACAGATGTGCTAAATTTTAGGAACATGTTTTCATGGATAAATTATAGTACTAAAAATTTAAAAATAAAATAATTAGTAAGAACTACATAATCAAATCCTGTAAAACTTGGAGGGAAATTCTGACATAAGAACACAGCTTCTAACTGCATTTTACTATAGGTCAAAGTGGTTTTCTTTAATACTTAATTCCTCACTCCATGTATTTCCTGGGAGAATTAGAACATCTTCCAACTAGATGGAGACAATTTCCTGCATGCCCATTAGATATTTCAAAATTCAGCTATTTTATCTTTACAAAAACTAGAAATACTCACCTTCTCTTTAGCCCATTTTTTTGCTGCCATGAACGACAACACTAGTGTGACCAGTCCTCCAGCTCCATGTAAGCCAAAGTACTGACAGCCTAAGACAGCAGAAATACACATACTCAGAACAAGGAAGGCTCGCCTCTGTGCAAGTCTCTCCTAGAAATACACATTTAGAAGTTGTTTTACATTAAACATACAACATGTGGCATTATCTATCTTTTTTTTACCCTTTGCTACAATATTTGTAAAGGCTTTATTAAATAGTCTCCAAAATACTGATTTGACTTTGCATCAAAACTTTTTGGCAGATTCAGAAGCAAGTAGCAATGTATCACACATGAGACTTTCACCCTTTATACAGAATTGACACCAACAGCAAAATGCTTTCCAGGCTCCACCCAAAAAGTAAGGGGAACAGGAGTTGTGAAAAATACATCTTTTGAAGATTCCTTTGTTTAAAAGATTTGGTAACTTTGATGCAACTACAAACTGGGCAGGGCAGGACAATGACAATTGTTGAGTTCAAAACCAGCCTTGGCTGTACAGTGAGACTTTGTCTCACAACTGCCACCACCACCACCAAAAACAACCAGGTCTAAAATCTTTGTCAAAGGGAGTGTCAGAAAATTCAAACCAGAAAATCTGGACAGATGAATTAGAATTTATCTCTGTTTTAAAGATGTTCAGGGTCAAGTTTTGTAAAAAAAAAAAAAAAAAGACGAAGAAAATTGTCAAGCAACAATAGATGATTTAGTGGAAATGGGGGAGGAGTGGAAGGGAGAGGGGAGTCACATACATTGTTCTCAGAATTTTAATTTACCAGATAAGGACACAGTGACATTAACCAAGACTACTTGGAATCAAACACTACTAGACTCAGTTTTAAGTGTACAGTAGGCATCAGAAGCAACTTTTGGGGGAAAGAGTCTTAAGTACGGGATTTTATGTTTCACAGTTCTTTCTAAAGTTGTCTCAGAAAGTTTTATGTTACACCCATGCTGTAAGCTTGGATGTGAACTGTCCCCTAACATCCTTGTATTAAAAGCTTGATTCCAGGTAATGCTGCGGGACATGGCAGAGCCTCTGGAAACCAGGGAAGCATGCTTCTAAGTGAGTTGTTAAGTCCCTTCTTCCTTTCGCTTTGTTCCAGGGCTCATGACATAGTTGGCTTTACTGTGCCACTCCCTCCTGCAATGGTCCACTGCCAGGGTGATGAGGCAGGTGGACAGCAGACTACACCCTTCAAAATTGTGGGCTAACTAACCCTGCTGTTCTGCAGATTAAGAATGTCCTTGGTAATTCATTATATTAACGGCAGGCTGAGTAACACACTACAATTCCACAAACCAGATTTTTTTTTATTTACCTGATCTCCACTTGGAAAATACTGAATAAAAAATCCCATAGCAATTCCTACCAGCACACCAATAAATACATTCCGCAAGGATGATAGGATATTGCTAATTACACTACCTGTAAGGGCACAAAATAAAAGAAACTTTTCACTGAGACGTATTTTCACATACATTATACATTAGAGAATAAGACCTATGTGGTTCATGAGTACATTTCATAGAACAAATTACAAAATTGGACCTTTTATAGTGATGTGTGAAAATGTATTCAGAGCTATCTGAAGTTAAATGTCTATTCCTAATAATTTAATATAAACACACAACTAAAAATATCCATTGTATAAATGGGTCAGAAAACAAAGAAATCATGTATTCTCCTTACACTCAACCTATGAGACCAAGTAAGGGAGAAAACTTGAGAGCAAGTGACAGGAGCATTGGTATGGGCTGGGTTAGGCCATGCTGACAATTCTGATATGCTGTATGCAAAATAAACTATCCAGTTAAATGTTGAAAGGAAAAACTTACCAATAACAACCACATAAAACATTTGTATGCCACTTAATCCCAGGTATAGATGAGTCAAGTAGGTTTTCAACGTTTCAATATGAATATTTTCTACAAGTCATTGTGAATTAAAAAAAGTTAACAACACCCCCCACCCCTTGATCCTCAATTTAAAGTAATTGTTTGGTTTTACTCTGAGCACTGAATTAGCTAAACATATGTAAGTGTTATAAATATTTCCACTCCAAAGAATAGAGGGATACTGGTTAAGATGCTGGAATGGGAATACTGAGCCTGGCCCCCAACAGACACACCAACTGAACAATAATAAATATCCTAAGAGCCTTCATGGAAGTCCATATGCCAGTTTAGAAGATGGCATGGAAACAAGTAGAAACAGCTAGCATGTATTGTGCTGCAGGAAGCTCAACCTCAAGCTGGCACAGGGACGGGGCGGTAGCCCACTTACCACTTCTCCATTGAAAGGCAAGGAGAAGACAGGGATGGTTTTGGAGATTGCCTAAAGCATTGGCTTTTGTCTCACCTGCTTCTAACCTGATACCCAAGAGCTGTCACCAACAAAAGGCAGGTTGGAGATGCTCCTGAACCAGAGAGCTTCTGAAACTGCCAGGCATTAAAGGAAAAACATCACAACTTTGCAAATACAAGCCGAAGAGGAGGAAGAACCTCCAAACTCATATTATAAGACCATTGCAACCTTGATGCCAAAGCCAAGCATATGGTAAGAAAACTATCCAGTGATGATGGTGTACCAGAAACCAGAGGCCTTGAACCAGACCAGTGACTTACTGCAATGAAAATTTGCTAGTAGATTCCACTCCTAGGCATATATCCAAATGAGGCAAATTCATACAACAAGGGCATCTGCTCCACTATGTTCATAGCAGCATTATTTGTAATAGCCAGAACCTGGAAGCAACCTAGATGCCCCTCAACTGAAGAATAAATACAGAAAATGTGGTACATTTACACAGCAGAAAAAAAAATGGTTTCTTGAAATTCGCAGGTAAATGGATAGCACTGGAAGAAACCATCCTGAGTGAGGTAACCCAGTCGCAAAAAGACAAACATGGTATGTACTCACTCATATATGGATTTTAGACATGGATCAGGATAGTGTCAGTCTGCACTTCCACTGATAGACAGTCTGGGAAACAGGAAAAAACCTAAAAGATATGCATATATGCATAGTACCCAAGAGAAGAGGATTGAGACAAGATCCGCTGAATGGATGGGGAACACGGCGAGGGGTGGGGGGGAGTGGGAGCTGGGAAGAAGAGAGGGGGGAGAAGAGGAAGAGAGAGTAGGTCATTTGGGAACAGGAAGTTGAGTGGGTGGGGGTAGAATAGGGGAAAGAGGGAATCATAGGTTAGAAGACAGATCAGGCACCAGAGTGACCTCTAGTGATCTAAAGGGATGACACCAATTGGCAAGCTAAGCAATAGTGGAGAGACCACCTCGAATGCCCATTCCTGATAATGAACTTGATGTCTATAACCATCCGGGAGCCTTCATCCAGTGACTGATGGAAGAAAAGGCAAACACACACAATTAAGCACCGAACTGAACCCAAGGAACCCAGTGACAGAGAGAGAGGAGTGATGAGCAAATTGGCAAAGAATGGGCTGGCAAAACCAGCAGAGACAGCTGATCTGAACAGGGGAGAGCTCTTGGACCCCAGACCGACAGCGGGGAGGCCAGCATGGGATTGATCTGGACCCCCCCGAATGTGTCAGTGAGAAGGCCTGGGCAACCAATGCGGTCCTGAGCAGTGGATCAGTGTCTATCCCTGGAATACAAACAGTCATCGTGTGCCCATAGCACAAAGAGGGATGCTCTCTCAGCCTGGACTCTTAGAGGAGTGCCTGGACCCTACCCTGAGGGAAATGACAGACTCTAGATATCCCCTATGTGGAAGGAATTGGCAATAGGGTGGGAGGCTAGGGGGGATGGGGAGTGCGGGAGGAGGGGAGGGAAAGGGAACTGGGATTGACATGTAAAACAAGCTATTTAAAATTAAAATAAAAAGTGATAAAAAAAAAAGAAAATTTGCTAGTAGAGTCAATAGGACAAAAGGGTAGACTATATGACACACAGAGGCCCCCAGTGCCGCCAGGACGAATGAACAGGTGTTGGAGAGATGGGAAAGGAGGAGAAGCAGAGTCTTTTTTTCTTTGTGTTTTGTTCTGTTCTTATTTTGTTTGTTTGTTTGCTTGCTTACTTTGTTTTCTTTTGTGGGGAGGTGCCACTGCAGGGTTGAGCAGAATTGGGGTGCATAATGTGAAACTCCCAAAGAATCAATAAAGAAGTTAAATTACAAAAGAAAACCACAGATCAATATTCCTGATAACTATTCAAGAATCCTAAATACAATATAAGTAAATTGAATTCAACAGCATAGCAGTTAGATTATACATCATGATCAAGTTGGATTTAATCCTGGAATACAAGGGGGTGCAAATGGATTTTTAAAAGATTTTATTTATTGTATGAGCATTTTGCTTGCATGTATGTAAATACACCATGTATAAATCTGATGCCTATAAATGCCAGAAGAGAAGCAATTTATCTCCTGATAGTGCTATAAGAAAGCTCACAGGTAACTTTATACTGACTGGCAAATGAAAAGTTTTCTTTTAAAGATCAGGAATAAGGTGATGTTCCCCCATTGCCAGTCTCAAGGCACTGGAAGTTCTAGCCAAAGAAATAAGGCAAAAAGAGAAGTAAAAGGCAGCCAAATGGAAAAGAAAAAATCCCTCTTTATGAGCAGATTGACCTTATATACAGAAAACCTTAAAGATCTGAGACTCAAGAGACGGTTCAGTGGGTACAGTCAATACCCAGCAAGCCCGATGATCTGAGTCTGGATCCCAGCAGCCACACTATAAAGGCAGATACAGTTTGACCGCAGCAACCAGTAAGGGGAGACAGAAAACAGGAAGAATTTTGAGAGCTTGATGCTCACCAGCTCGGTGTACAAAGCGGGGAACAATGACAGACACTATCTCCAAACAAGGTTGAAGGTCAAGATTGACACTCAAAGTAGTTCTCTGATTCCACATGTACACTCCTTCATGCTTTTCGCCTGCATGCCTTCCCCCCACCACACACACACACACACACACACACACACACACACACACACACACACACATAACCTCCAAACACACTATCTGTCAGAACTAATAATCAAAACCAGCAAAGTTGTGTGCTGCAAAATCAACACTAAGATATCAGTTGTTTCATATATTAACAATGAAAATCAGAAAAGAAAATTATGAAACTCATTTTGAATAGCATAAAAAGAAACAAAGAATAAATGCAATTAAAGAGACAAAAGGCTTGTACTGATGATTGGAAACATTGTTGAGAGAAGTTACAGACACACAAGTAGAAAATACATTTGTGCATGATTAAAAGATTCAATATAATTACAATGTCAATACTAGCAAAGAAACCTCTTTATTCCATGTGAATCCTACCAAAAATTCTAAAGGATAGTTTGGTTTGTTAAGAATGGAAAAAGAGAACCCTAAAATTTATATAGAATACTGAGGGACAGTGAAGAACCATATGCTAGTGATCTTAATACATGTGCAATTTGACTTTTGTTCTTTCTACGAAACACAGTTGGAGCTTAAGTATTTTAGTACAGACTTAAGCACAGGGGTTAAGAGAAAGGGGTACACAGAAGAAAGTAAGCCACACCTAAGAGCATGGTTGTGGTCTTCTCAAAGAAGACTTGCGGAGCACTAAGTGTGGGTGCTTCAAAGGAGAGCTGCGGATACTCTGTTCTTGATTTGTATTTTTCTAACGATTACATATGCTGAACAATTTTCAGATGCCTGTTAGTCATTTGTGTATCTTCTTTCAAGTTTAATTCCTGCTCTTTTATCATTAGTCATCTGCAAACACCCTAAACTTACTTCTCTCAACTCTGGAGAGCAAGAAGTCAATATCAAGGCACCAACAGCTCTGGTGTCTGGTAAGGGGATTTTCCTCATAGGCCACTTTCTCTGTGGTCTCATGTGGTGGAAGAGCTCCAGACACAATTTTAGTAAGAGCCCTAATAGCATCCATGAGGACTGCCATAGTCCTCAGCATTCCCTATAGGCCAAAGCTCAGACATCTCATTGGCGCTAGGTTCCAGAATTTGAATTCTGGAGACACATAAGCTTTCAGACTTCAGCAAAAGGCTGCCTTCATTTTAGCCTGAGGCATTTCTTTGTTCTTGGGTTATAGTTCTTCCATATAATCTTTCCGTTATCAACCTTCCTGTGATGACAGTCTCCAATTCCAAGTGCTCTGCTTCCACTCTGGTTGGTGTGGCACACATGTTTTAAAGTTTGATATCCAAATTTCACCAATATTTGCTTTTGTAGCCTGTGACTGTTAGTGTTACATCAAAGAAACTATTGCCAAGTTCAGGGTCATAAAGCTTCGCTTTAATTTTTTTCTTTTGCATAAGGACATCTAGTTTTCCCATCACTGTTTGTAGAAGAAACTTTCCTTTATCCATTAAGAATTCAGGAGTGGTGGCTCACACTTTTATCCTAGCACTGGGGAGCCTGAGACAGGAGAATTATAGCAAGCACAAAGCTAGCCTGCACACACAGTGAGCCTGTCTCAAAACAAAAATAAAACAAAAGGAAAGAAAACATTAAATACAGGCACAAATGTTTCTACACAAGATATTCAACCATGCATTATTTCAATAGTAAATATTGTAGTCAATTACAATTGTGTACAGGTCAGTAATTCTGAAGAAGTCTACTAATACTTACACAACTATTCAAAATGGACACAGAAATTGCCTTGATGTTGTATGTAACTAGCACTGGTTTGGTAAGCTAAGCATAAAGAATCATGAATTCCATGTCAGCCAGAGTAACAACAGCAATCCTGTCTCAAAACAAATTCTTTTCTATGTGAAAAGTATGTTTGTGATGATAAAAGTTAACAGCAAAATAATTTAGATTATGTGCAGAGATGAAAGGCAAAAATTGGGGTTATCAACAGAGATGGAAGGATGGCTCAGCAATTAAGAGTACTTGTTGCTCTTGCAGAGGATTTGGGTTCAGTTGCCAACAACTACATGGAGGCTCACAACCATCTGTAACTCTGGTTCAGATGATCCAACACAAACATACATGTAGACAAAACATGCATATACATAAAAAAATCAGTTTTTAAAAACTAGGGCTGTTGAGAAGGCTCAGCAGGTAAAAGCACTTGCCATGCAACCTGACCGCCTGAGTTCGATTCCCAGGACTCATGGTAGAAAGGTGACAATGGCTAGGACACACTGATCTTCCAGAGGATGACAGTTGTCCTTAGCATCGCAATGGGCAGCTCACAATTGCCTGTGACTTCAGTTCCAGATCCAGTGTCATCTTCTGGGCTCTAAGGGTACCCCCCCACACACATACACACGGCACGGCATACATAAACAATTGTGATGCCATAAACAACTAGAGACTAACTATTAATGCACCTCATTCCTAATGGCTGGTATTAAAGGCAATTGACCTTATGCAATTGACTACTTCAATGTAGGGAGTTGCCCTCCTGAACTCTATTAAAATACTGCTCCACACAAATGGCCCAGAAGGCAAGGCCAGATAACTTCTCTTAACTGCTATATGAAAAGGAACATTCCCTCTCAAGGATATAACACTTTCTTACTGAGAATTAGCTTGCTGTCCTTCTGGTCTGGTAAATACTGTTATTCATATGCCTTTGGCTCATGGTACTCGTGCTGACAATATGGTCAGTGTTCAGTGATTTTCATAAGCATGATGGGAGGGACTAGGAAGATGGCAATATTAGTAAAATACTAGACAACAAGCCTGAGAAATTAATTTGGATCCACGTAAAGTTCTGGGCATCTGTCATCACAGCAATGAGAAGGTGGACACAGGAGGATCTCTAGAGCTCGTTGGTACGCAGCCTAGTCAAACTGTTGAGTTCCAGACACACCAAGAGATCCTGCCAAAGGCCAGTCAGCCTAGCAAAACTACTGTGTTCTAGACACGGAGAAATCAGTCTCAACAAATAAGCTGGAGAACAATGGAAGAAAACATCCACTGTCAACCTCTGGCCTCCACATGTGCATATGTGCACATAGCCACCCAAGCATACATACACACATGTACACATGTACATGCTTAGACACAGAAAAACACAGAATAATGCGAGACAGAGAGAAAGAGAAGGGGGAAAGAGATTTATATAATAAGATTGAGAAACTATTCTTACCTAGTAGGGATGATCATTACAGATTTTATTTTTATCTTTTGTATTTAAATATATAAATATATTTTCTGATTTTTAAGAAAGAGACAGAGTCTGGCTAGCCTTGAACTCCTGGGTTCATGTGATCCATTATTAATCTCCTAAAATGCTAACATAAGCACACTATCACATCCAGCTCTGATCCACACCACCTTTAAAACGACCTCAATATTTCTAGGAGATAGACAACTCAATTTTATTTTATTTTTACTTTTGGTTCTACGAGACAGGGTTTCTCTGTATTGTTTTGGAGGCTGTCGGTCCAGCCTGGCCTCGAACTCACAGAGATCCGCCTGCCTCTGCCTCCCGAGTGCTGGGATTAAAGGCGTGCACCATCACCGCCCGGCTGACAACTGAATTTTAAATATTGCCGATAATCAGAGCATCACTGACTGTGGAAATGTTACCATTTGAAAACTTTGTTTTAAAGCGAAGAACTCCAAGTAGCACTTTTGAGACCTGATTTTCTTGCTATGTGTTTTCTACCCAACTCTCCTGTGACTGTGTCATCTTCGTCCGTTTTCCAACAACGACATAAAGGTGTCTTCAGGAGGGCAGTTATTGTGCTCACTGACCTTTACAGTGAGCATGTCCAGCATTAGAACGGTGCCTTCTGGCATTTTCATGTTGGCCACGATGGACTTTCCCAGCCATTCGCTGCAGGTTATTTCATTCACAGGGCAGCAGCGATGTGGCTGGAGGCCCAGTGCCTTCCCCACCTGACCCCACATGTTTTCCCAGCTCCCCAAGCTCCAGGAAGGCTGAGTAGTCACTCTTCTTCCAGGTCTTGTCCAGAGTTACGTGATGTTCCAATATCATGACCGCAAGAGCCACCGTGGCCACAGACATTACTACACTTTTTCAAGTTCTAGACTACCTTCTGGGGATGTGAGGAAGGAGCGTCTGATATTCTGGGATGAGTGAGCAGGAGGTGGTGACCTCAGACACTGGGACACTATAGGAAGCAGAAGCTGGGGCTGAGGGGCTTCAGGCTGTGATAGACTGTCTTCATTGTGTCCATCGGCTGCGTTTGCGGGCAACCATCAGGGGCTTCCTTCGCTGTCTTTTCCAAAAAAGGTTGTTAGTGTCTGCTAACCCAACTCTGGAAAATGGAGAATTCAGCTCAGACAGAAACTCATCTGCCATTTCATTCATTCAGAGGCAGTGGGGACGACGCCAGCCTCCTTTGAATATTGCTTCAGCTCCTTGTACTGACAAGGCTGAATGCTATGTGCCATCTGTCTCCTCAGGAATGCTTTCATCATACTGCCTCTCCGGAGCCTCCGATCAACTGTGAATTCTAGTGTATTGGCATAACTGGCCACACTCACCTTGGCTGTGTGGTCTAACACTTTAGTTTCCATGTCTCCCTGGTGATTCTGGCTCTTCTCAGCAGTGGTGAAGCATGGGCACTACCAGCACCAAGGGTAGCATGGGCTCTAGTGATAGGTGGCTGTTCCCACTTGACTGCACTCTGGGCTCTGTAAGGCCAGCTCCCACTTTCACAGTATCTGTAGTGCTGGTCAAGACCAAATGTCGCCTTGCAAATCTGAGCTGGTGCAATAAGATTTTGTCTTAACACTACCAAAAGGACACATTGTTGTCTTAGCTTTGTATGTTTGAATTGTCTTAATACCAAGAAGCCTGTTATTAGGATGGTAAGAAAAGTACATTTCAAAACCACTTGAGTCAATGTATTAGTAACACTATAAACTGACAAAATTTCCAAAGCACCAAAATCAGACAAATGGCAAGGATTCGGGTAATTAAAGTAATGAAAAGTTCAGTATTAAAATGAGGTCACTTTGTTAAGTACTATCTGGGGAACATTCATTTTATTTTTAAATTTTATAATTTAATTTTAAATCCATTGAAGCATCTTACCTGGTCAAGATGAGCTTTCTATGAAGAATAAAGAGATATTAAAGTCCTGGCTAATAAACCCCGCTTAAAGAACTACAGCAAAAGGACGTAAGTGAAACATTTCTTATTTACCCGAGGAAAAGACTATGCTCAAGAACGTGTTGAATCCAGTGATGGCCACAACATCGTCCATACTGCTAGCGGCCACCAGCAAGGTTGGAATGCCTTTCTCCGTACCGTATCCATTTTCTTGCAACAACAGCATGGAGGGAACGACAACAGCAGGAGAGACAGCGCCTAGAACAAAACTGAAAGGCAGACTTTGAAAACCCAGGCGTCCTTCTAAGCAACGAGAGTTTTGCTCTCACATGGCATCATTCTGCTTTTGAGTGAGAGCCACCCAATGGTGCTCATGCACTCTGCATGTCGTTTAGTGCTGAATAAAAGTTCATAGGGATGTGTCTTAAGAAGCCGGACTGAAAAAAAAAGAAGAAAGAAAGAAACTGGACTGGCACAAAGGCGGGTTTCCCCTCTAGCTGTGTATCATATCAACACAAAAAGAAAATTCATAATGCAAGGAGCGGACAAGAGGAGAATCCTCAGCGGATAGGAAACCAAGGGTATTCTAGTCACGCTACACTTTTCAATGCACACTGACCGCACACAGTAGGTACGCTGAACTCTTCCATAGCTGCGGCACTGCTTCACAGCCCCACCAGCGGGGCACGGCAGACCCAGATTCTCCGCATCCTTGCCAACACTACACACATATCTTGGTTAGTCCAATGTGTGTGCAATAATACCCTTTTTCCTTCTGTTTTCTACTACTTGCAGATGACAAGAATTTCAGATATTTGTTGACCGTTTGTATAATTTCTGTGGATAAACATACACACACACACATACACACACATCTTTAAAACAAACAAAATCCACTTTAAATGCAATATATATACCATTTTTCTATAAAATAGCGACAAGTAGCTGGAAGTTAAAATAAAAAACTTTACAGGAGTATTAAAACATAGAGATACTTAGGAATCAACTTTAAAAGCACGTATAATATCTACATTAAATATCTAAAAACTAGAAAACATTGATTGAAAAATTAAGTAAGACTCAGTTGGGTGGTATAGCAATCAAGAAAATGTAGTAAGACCAGACATCCAGATCAAAGCAATAGAAGACACATTTAGAAATAAAACCCTGAACACATGCACAGGCTACTTTGCCGAAAAGCTGTCACAGTGACATAATGTGGATGCCATATGCAGTAATTGGTACAGAAACAACTATACAGCATTAGAGAAACACAAAACAAAAGCATTGTGGCTCCTATCTTGTGGCACACATGAAAATTGACCCTGGTGGCAAATGCACCTACCTAAGCTTAAAATCTTGTACTATGAAACTTCTACGAGATTAAAAAAAATCAAGAGGTGTTTGTTGGAGTTGGCAAAAATCTATGAAATCAATTTTAAATCTCTTCTGAGACACCATTAAAAATTAATGGGGAGATTGGAAAGACACAGGTCAAGACACAGAATACAGCCAGCCAGGAGGAATAGGCTCAAGAGATTTGCTGAGGTGCACAGAGACAATGGATGATGTATGATGCTGTTGAGTAGTCCTAACAAAGTGGGTGGTAATCTTTCCCCCACCAAAACGATAACTGTGAGGTAATACAATTAGATTTAACCATTCCACGATACACATATATTTCTAAGTGTCACGCTGTATGTCACTACAGATCACTTTACCTGCCTATTTAAAACAAATGGCTTCTTTTGTAAACTTTAAAAAAATAAATCTGAATATTTTCTCCTTTAAAAAATGTTCATTTTACGTGTAAGTCTTTACTTCACTTGACATACACGTGAATCACAGCACGTTTCGTTGTATAACTTGAAGAGATTCGTTTAACTTAACAGTTGTGCACTGTAAAACTGGGATTATGTGAAAGTGAACCCATCACGAGAATTATAAAGATGAGTTATGCAAAAGCTCACAGAAGAATCTCCGCAGACAGCAAATATGACAAAAATCCATGCATTACTGCGGTAACTAACAATTTCAGCCGGGCATTTCTGGTGTTTGAGAACTGGGCATGCACATCCGACTCAGGAGATAGGATCTTCTTTTCACATGACAGTCTCATTTGGAGAAGCTGGTATGTGCCTCCTGTGCTTAAATTAGACTTGAATTATGTATTTGGAAATTAATAGCTTATAGGTAGAATTTGAAATCATTAGAAACTACAGAAGAATCAGATTAAAAAATGAGATCTAGTACTAGTCCTACATTATTCCTTTACTTAAATGCTAGAAGGAAAGGATAACTATTAGGGCAAATAGGAAGAAAGGTTTGCCAAGTTAGAAACTGTTATGGACTGAACTCTGTTCCCATCCTCACAAATTCGCAAGTGAAACTAACCATCAGTGAAGCTGGATTCAGAGACAAAGCCTTTGAAAAACTATTTAAAGTTAAATGGAACCAAGTCAAAGATGACCAATGTCTCATAAGAATACAAATATCTCAAGGATGCCGATGAAGAGCGGGTAGGTCATGCAAAGTTACAGGAAGGAGGTGATAATCTGCAAGCCAGGCAGACAGGTGTCAAGAGAAATCAAAGCTACCAATGTCTTTATCTTGGCCTTCCAGCCTTCCTAACATTAAGAAATGAATTTCTGATGTTTCAGCCAGTAATCATTTAACTGGTTAATAAAAGAATTAAAAGGCAAGTCACATATTAGAAGGAAAAGCTCATAATGTATATACTAGATGAATGAATTTAGTCTAGAATATAAAAACAGAGAGCTGGAGAGATGGCTTGGTGGTTAAGAGCACTGGCTGCTCTTCCAGAGGATCCGGGTTTGATTCCCAGAACCAATATGGCAGCTCACAATCACCCGTAATTCCAGTTGCAGGGGACCTGACACCCTCCTCCAGCCTCTGTGGGTATGGCACACATGCAGTGTCCATATACATGCAGGCAGAAGATCCATTCACATATTAAAGGTTATACATAATTTAAAATTCAGCAAGAACTCAAGGAGCTCAAATTTTAAAACTGGCAAAAGATTTGAACTGGCATTTTTACCAAATAAGCTGTATGAATAGTTCCAGTGTGTGAAACGATGTTCAGTACCAGTGGCTATTAGAGGAATAGACGCTAAGGTAGGACAGACTAGCACTTACAGTCTCTAGAAGATGCTGCACGCAGGAAACAGTATTAGTGCAGAGGATGCAGTGCCCTGTGATCCTTAGGACTAAAGGTACAATCAGAAGGCATTTCCTATGGATGTGTTTTAATATAAATAATAAAAACAAGACTGGGGTGTAGCTTGGTGATCAGATACTTGCCTCATATACTTGAGACAATGGGTTTGATTTCCAGGAGATAAATGTGTGCATGTATGTATGTATTGGGGTTTTTCACAATAAAAGTTTGAAATCCACCCTTTTTGGCAGTGAGGATGCAATGGGTAACTTTTTTGTGTTTGTTTTTATTGCTTTAAAAGTAAGTATTTTTATTTATGTGTCCATTAATAAAATTTCTCATATATATTTATCCATATAAATATATAAAATACTGTATGAAAAAGTGGTCATTTGACATATTAAAAACATGGACACAAGACAGAAGAGATGGGAGAGGGGTTAAGTTGAGAGACTGGACTACTTGGCCCTGAACACTGAGGAACATCACTGTTTGTGAAACTGACCAGCAGAGTGCTTCTCAGAGTTCGGCTCTTGCTACACACCTCTGCCTGGCCTTGAACTAAGTATGATGTCACCTCAGTATCCCTAGCGTGGGATTACAGGAGTGTGCCAGCATGCCCAGCTGCATTTGGTAGAAGCAGAACATGACTCTGTCTTCTGTCAACAGATTTTCAGGGATCCCTGCCCACCCATGATAAAGGGATTTTAATGGAGAACTTGGCTATGCACTATTTGGAGTATCCAGAGCTTTAACCAAACACACTTAACTGTGTAAGTTCATGTTCTGAGGGAATGGAGAAAAATATTACCCTAATAGGAACCCCCATTGCCAAGGAAACTTCATAAGGAAATGGGAGAAAAAGGCAGCGGAACAGGCCTCTATGATGCAGGGACCGAATGACAGCCTCAGACAAACGCCCTTCAGGTGCTTCAGAGCCTGAAACAGAAAAGGGGCAGCATTCAGAGGCACTTACAACGGCTAACAAGAAAACCATCCAAGCACACACCGTGACACAGCATTTCCCTGAAGGACAGCGACTTCACACTTGATAAAGTGCTCTTATAGGAACCTCAAAGGGCTATCTTCTTTAATTTTCCCACTACACACTACAGTGATAATATCTCACTGGATTTCCCCCACCAGTTAATTAGTGGTGAATTATTTAATTTAATAATAATAATAATAAAAATAGTAACGTATCACAGTAAAATTTAATCTATTTATTTCAAAAGGAAATACTTTTCTATTTTCTTAATGGTTCATGATGTCACAAGTAATAGTTATTTACCCTCTTGGTATAATTTCATTAAATCTATATATGCTTCCCACACTTGATTCTGTAGCTATCATACCCATGACGTCACCTTTCAATAATTCAAACGAATTTCTGATCCCCAGGTTAACTATTTTAATAAATATTTTAAATAAGCTTTTACAGTAATGTAAAGTTAATCAGGAACATATTTCTAGCTAGTCATAAAACAAATTATTGAAATTTTAATCTCTCTTTTAAGACAGAGAGACAAGGAAGCTTTACTTTCTTAGCTGGAAGTAAATAGTGCCCATAGAAAAGCCTCCCAATTAATAGTGATACTGCCCAAGATACATCTATTTCTATGCATGGCATTGGATATGATGTCTAATAGAGATCCTATAGTGATTTCATATAAATAATGATGACTGGAAATAGAAATTATAAAACCAGTATTTTGGTCAAGTCTTTGTTATCTCAGGTTTACATGCAGACTCTACTTAGAACAACTCTAACAAAAATCCTATCTCTTTTAATCTCTGCTATTTTATAATATGTAAAAGAATTTTACTCAAAACTGAATAGGAAACTTACTTGTGGGTCCAGTCCAAGCCCAGCTCGTATTAGGATAATAGTAAGGGCGGTGTTTCTTAAAGCTGAAGACCATGTGGTAGGAATCTGGACAAATTCATAAATAAACGGAATATTCCTGATGGTGAAACCAGCCAGTAACATCCCTAAGAGGGGAGGGAAGAGAAAGAAAATAGAAATCAAAGCATATCCGACTAAGTTAACGTTCCCAGGAGAGACACACAGGGGTAGGTCACATAGGCGAGGAAGTGGAATGCATACAGGAACGTGAAACACAAACACAGGAGTGCTCCAGTACACAATTCAGTGATTCTGGGACACACAGAGCAGGGATGAGCGTGCAGACAGTAGGTAGAAGCCAGGTGGTGGGCGGAGTCTCCTCTTTGGCAGAGTCAGGGGCTATGAGACAGTTCCACAGAGGAATTGATGTAAGAATCTTGCAGCTTTTACGTGTTGGTCTTGGTGAATTAGACGGTGATAAAGCAGGCCTCAGAGACCTCTAAGAAGATATGCCATGGGGAAGTAGGGAACAGCTCAAGACAGAAGGAGGGGGTAAAGATTCAGTGAGTATTAAGAGAGCTTTGGATGCAAGGGCATCATGTACATGTTAAAAACATACTGAGAGACAGCCTCCAAGACAATACAGAGAAACCCTGTCTCGAAAAACCAAAAAAAAAAAAAAAAAAAAGAAAAGGGAAAAAAAAAGATACTGAGACAATCTCTACAGATGGTACTTTGACTATTTAGATGTGTTGGTTACTTAGAAGACATAAGACCTCAGGAAAAAAAAAAAACTCCACCTGGAGAGTCATGGAACAAAAGGAGAAACAATACATAATACAGGAGTGGCAGATGGGCATACACATACAGATGGATGCCCACACAGTGTACTCAGTTATCATAGAATACTAGTGCCCTATTTGTCGTAATGGTCATATGTGCAAAGTATTAGTTACATGTACAAGACTTTAGCCTTTTCTAAGTTTCCTTTCTTCTAGAATGCATTTAAACGAATTTTAAAACTTACTAAATAATAAAGCAACACAAATTATATAGAGGGTTTTCAAAAACAGACTGTAAAGAAATCTGTGTCTAGAGAATAAACCTATATAAACACATACAGTAAATACTTATAATTAGATGCCAGATACACATTATAAAATATCCAGTCCAAGTAGAAAATGTTCAAAACTTACAAATACTCAACAAAGAATATAGCTGATCCTGTACTTACCAAGAAGAGGAGGAAGGGGGGGCACTACAGGTATTCTAATGATCTCTAAAATTTTCCCCCCAAGAAAGGCACTGTAGAAAATAATTATGAGTCCAAACAAGTTTCCACCAGGGAGAACTTCTTCGCCCATAAGGGACCAGAGTAGAGTCCAAAATACAATGAGTGCAACTCCTGAAATATAAAAATATTTAATTCCATATAGACAAATGTGATGAACATGAATGTATCAAATATAATAATATGCAGACTTATATAGTTACACACAGTGTAGATTCATATTGCATACTGTTATAGCTGAAGTTAGTTATTAACGTATATTTCAGAGACCCTATCCGTTTATAGGATAAGTCTTAAATTATTTTTAAAATCATTTTAAGGGGGCCAGGTAAAAGTGTTTGCCATAAAACCCAATGATCTAAGGTCATTTCCTGGAACCCATGTAAATATCGAAGGAGACAACTAGAACCTGCCCTGAGCTCAACGTATGTGCGATGGCACACTTCTTTCTCATTACACATGCATGTACACACACACACACACATACACACACACACATACACAGACACTAAAATAAAAAATTTCAGACTCTATTTGAATTGTTTTTCTTTGTAGTGCTGGGAATTCAACCTAGGGTCTCACATATGCTAGGCGAGTACTCTACCACCGATAGCCCTGAATTCTGTAAAGCAAAACGGTTTCTTCTAATATCTTAGTATTTTTTTCTTTCTTTCTTGTTTTAAGGTAGGGTCTGGCTCTGTCACCCAGGCTGGCTTCCAAGTGTCTTCTCGCCTCTGCCCCTAATAGAGCCATTATGACCCACAACATAATGTCACATTGTGAAGAAATGTCATGAAAATATGATGAGATTTTCATGAGTCTTAAAACAGTTTTCCCAGGAGGAAGAAAAGCCTGACTGGCTGTGATACAAATTCTCAACTTAATTCATGATCACAATGGCAGAGAAAAATTTTAAACTTGAGTACTGAAAATAATACTTGGGTAATATTTTTATAAGTATCAGAAGGGGCAAAGCCTGAGGGAAAACGAACCTGGACGTTGTGGAGATAGTTACAAGGTACCCACGTGCAGGAAGTGTTGGTGGTCAGGGTGAGTCAACAAAGGTGGTACAGAGCAGGTGAGATGGCTCAGCCGGTGAGAGTATTTGCCACACCACTCTGACTACCTAGGTTTGGCTGTCAGCATCCCAGGAACAGTGTCATGCTGTGGCTCACATCCAATCCCAACTCTAGCACTGCCATGGTGTGGTGGTTTGAATAGGCGTGGTCCCCATCAGCATCCCAACTCTAGCACTCCCATGGTGTGGTGGTTTGAATAGGCGTGGTCCCCATCAGCATCCCAACTCTAGCACTGCCATGGTGTGGTGGTTTGAATAGGTGTGGTCCCCATCAGCTGATATGTTTGAATGCTTGGCCAATAGGGAGTGCCACTATTAGGGAGTCTGGCCTTGTTGTGGGAAGTCTGTCACTTTGAGGGTAGGCTTTGAGGTCTCATATGCTCAAGCTACGTCCAGTATAGCACATAGTCTCCTTCTCCTGCTTGCAGTTCAAGATGTAGAACTCCCAGCTCCTTCTCTAGCACCATGTCTGCCTGCATTCCATCATGATGATAATGGTTAAACCTCTGAAACTGTAAGCCAGCCCCAATTAAATGTTTTTCCTTTGTAAGAGTTGCTGAGGTCGTGGTGTCTCTTCACACAACAGAAACCCTACGACAGAAGTTGGTGCCAGGGTCTGGGGTATTGCTGTGATAGTTCTGACCATGTTTATGATTGGAGTAATGTGAATTTTGGGTTTGGAAAGCAGTGGGATGTTTTAAACACTACTTAATGGGCCAGCCTAGCAGGGACATAGAAGACAGTAGTGCCAAGGGTGATTTGAACTGTGGGGGCTAGGCTCAAGAGGAGAATATTAGTATGTGGGCTAGAGACTGTTCTTGTGTTATTTTAGTGAAGAATCTGGCTGCTTTTTGCCCTTGTCTGAAAAGTCTGCCTGAGGCTAAAGTGAGGAGTTTTAGATTAATTCCATTGGCAGAGGAAATATCAAAACAGCCTAGTATTGACTCTGTTGTGTGGTTATTATTGGTCACTCATGCAAATCTATAATAAAAGGAGCAAGCTGAGCAGGGAAAGCTACAAAATATGCAATCTGAGAGAAAAGGGGTACCAGGTGAAATGGTCTAAGTCCTGTGTTTGAGGAGATAGATTCAAGAAAAACCTGATATTAAAAGAAATAAAGAGTGTGGTGACCTCAAGACAAGACCCCGCCCAGCTAAGCTTCCAACTTGTAAAAAGTAACTAAAGAATAGCTTAGGTCCAGGTGTGGAGGTACACACCAGCATCAAGGAGACAGAGACGTCGGATCTCTGAGTTTAAGGCCAGCTTGGTCTACAGAGCAAGTTCCAGGACAGCCAATCTTAGGCAATAAAGGAAACCATGGAAAACACAAAGCTGATGAAGATGTAACTGAATGAAGGGATCACGTTCCAGTCCCAGCGAGCAGCAGAACTTGGCAGCGTCAGCCATGTGGTTCTGACTTTAGAGGTGAGGACAGAAGACCAGTGAAAGCTGCTGAGGCCAGGCATGCACCAGGGGTGCATGGAGGCCTGTAGAGCCCATTGTGTGAAGCTGTGGAGGTGAAGTCTGGATTGCCTTAGAGAACCCAGGGTGTTGGCGATGCCAGAACCATGGGATGCCTGCCACGGAGAGCTGCTAACAGGGAGTGGAACCAGCCCAAGAGGAAGAAGTGGGCTGCAGTCAGCAAAGCTGAAGAAGTTGGAGATCTGAAATGAGAAGAGTCTCTTCTCCAAAACAAGGTAGAAGGAGAAAATGCACTCACCTCAGAGTATTCCCTCCCTCACCTGAATAAAATGCCCCCCAAATCACCAGATGTCTACTACGTTTCATAATAGGTACACATCAAACCCACGAGAAGACAAACAAGACAACAGTGACAGTGGACATTTATAAAAGACATTAGGTACAGGGAGCTATGGGATAGAAGGACCTCACTGTTCAAGAGGCAGAATGACAAAAGAGTCTTAGGAAATCCTGGCTCTTGCCATGCTCCTAGTATTTTCCTTCTAGCAAGGCTATAAAATAAATATGTACCCACATATTTTCCAATATTTAATCATATTTCACAAAATTTTATCAGTTAACATTCACTAAATAAATAAGCAGTTCTTTTTAAATAAATCCAACATCAAGTATCGCGTACACAAAATAAATGAGCAAGGTCTGATTAGGTGAAAAAGTGAAGAGAGAAAGAGAAAATACAAGCAAGGTCAGGCAGGGGCCTCATGGCAGACACATGCACACAACGTCACTAAAACAAAATTAAACAACACAAATGAACACACAAAAATCATTTGCCTTCCAATGTGCCCACAGAAAACATGCAAAAAGAAACCAGACAAAAGAATTCTATCCATAATTGCCTCAAAAAATCTTGGAGTAAATCTAACCAAAGAAGAAATCTAACAACTTAATAAAAAAACAGGTTATTGAAGTGAGTTGAAAGTCCTCAAAAGCTGAAATACACCTGGCCCCCTTTACCACCAGAGAAATGCAAATGAAAACTACATTGATATTCCATCTAACCCCAGTCAAAGTGGCAGTCATTACGAAAACAAACAAATAAATGCTAGTGAGGATGCAGACAGAAGGGAACACAAACTCTTGGTGGGAATGTGTAGCACTCCATCTGCTGTGGAAATCAGCTTGGGGGTTCCTTGAAGAAACTAAAAATCAATCAGCCGTATGACCCAGCTCGGTGTTTACCCATGTTACTACATATCAACATATCACAGAGAGATCTGCATACCCATGTTTACTGCAGCACTGCTCATAATAGCTAAGTTATGGAGTCAACCTAGGTGTCCAGCAGCTGAGGGATAAGTAAACAAAAATGTAATCAACCAGGAACAAAGTTGCCATCTGCAGAAAAATGGATGTAATTCAAGACAATCAATTAGGTGAGTCTCAGAAAGAAAAATATCACTTTTCTCTCATTTCTGATTTATGGGTCTTATATAGATACATAAAATCATATGTGTATGTATGATATGAAAGTAGAAACAAAACTGTCTATGGCAACAAAGAGAATTATCAGGATGGCAAAGCTTGAGAAGGGTGAGGCTGGCAGGGATGAAGGGAATTGGATCCAAGTGTATTTGTGTAAAATGCCCTCATGTATCTCAGGACTGTGCACAATTTTAAAAACTGAACAGGACTTAAAAAAGAAAAAAACCATAAAAGGAGTAAATATGACATCATAAGGAGAATTGGGGGCTATAAGTGGCCTGAGATGACCCATGAAGATGGTTTGCTGCTCCCTTGACCTAGAAAACCCTACAAAATCATGCAAATCAAGAGGATCAACTCTTCATGCTCACTTTAAGAACACAGTGAAACTGCCCAGCCCACTGAGGGTATGCATATCCAGAAAGCCACCAAGTATCTAAAAGATGTCATTAAAGATGCAATATGTGTCATTTGGGTAGTGTAACAGCAGAGATGGTAGGTGTACCCAGGCCAAACAGTGGTGATGGATACAGGGTCGGTGACCAAAACAGAATGCTGATTTTTTTTGCAGCACATGCTTTAAAATGCAGAGGTCAATGCTGAATGGAAGGGTTTAGACGTAGATTCTCCAGTCACTGACACAATGCTCAACGGAAGGGTTTAGACGTAGATTCTCCAGTCACTGACACAATGCTGAATGGAAGTGTTTAGACGTAGATTCTCCAGTCACTGACACACCCAGGAGAACAAAGCACCGAAGAACTGCCCATGAATTTACAGAGCTAATGGCCGGAGGGATTAGCCCACACCTGAGCTCCCCTGCCACACTGAAATGATGCTCACTGGAAAGGAACGAACTGTTTCAAAGTCAGAAGAGGAGGCTGCACAAAAGAAACAGATATCCCAGAAGAAACTGAAGAAACAAAAACTTAGGGCACAGGAACAAATTCAGCTTGAAATAAATGCAGATGAAAGTTAAAAGGGGGTGCACTGAGGAAGGAGAGAGAGAGCAATTATCACCCTGTTCTGAAAGCTGACCACAGGAAATTAGGATGAAGGATGAGAGTGGGGGGGGGCAACGCACAGCCGGCAATGTGGAAGGCAGCCAGGGAAAAGCTCCTCTCATAAT